TTGATTAAAGACGGTGTTTTCCTTTGGCTTTAAAAGTTAAGGAAATATGCTTTGAGACGTGGAACGCCGTCTGAGTCCGATGTCACGAAAAATCTTTAACCAATTCAATATGCCGATTTCTTAATCATGCATAACAAAAACACAACAAGAACAACATTAAATGCCAACTGCGCAATTAGTCGATATTGAAATTCGTTATTGTTTTTTGATTGCTGATTTAGTATTCTTTGATTTCTTTCTATTATCATAATCATCGTCATCAATGTCTTTGGTGTAGGTATATTGATTGCCTTTTGTTGCCTCAACACATCACATTTTTTCAAATTTCTTAAGTATTTCAGTAGATCCACATCACAACCATTTTGGCATATATATATATATATATATATATATATATATATATATATATATATATATATATCAGGTCATCCCATAAGTTCTGTCCGAATTTTAACTTTTTGTTAAAATGAACGAATTTTAAAGAGTATTTTATAATGTCTAATGAAACTGGACATTATTTTTATGTTTAGATGCATTTAAGCTGATTAAATTTTATTTCAGAGAACAATAAAATTAAATTTTGTTTGATTAAAACCCTGCTAACATGGGAAGTACCCAAGAATCATTTGAGGCACATAATGCTTTATGAGTTCAAGAAAGGAAACTCAGCAGGCGAAGCGGCTAGAAACATTCACTCAGTTTATGGAGAGGAATGTGTTAATGAAAGAACTTGCAGAAGATGGTTTGCAAAATTCAGAGGTGGACATTTCACCCTTGAAGATGAAGATCGAACCGGACGTCCAGTTGAGTCTGATGAAAAGCTTCATGAAGCAGCCCTTGAAGAAAATCCTGCTCTATCAGTTGAGGAATTGGCAGTGGTTCTCAGTTCAAACCATACAACTGTTTATCGTCATCTTCAACAACCTGAAAAAGTTCCTAAACTTGGAAAATGGGTGCCCCATGAATTGTCTGAAAACAACCTCAAATCCCGAGTTGACATCTGCTCTTCTCTCCATTCTCGCCAACTTGTTTCACCTTTTTTGGATAGACTTGTGACTGGCGACGAAAAATGGATCTTTTATCGAAGTGTTAAAGGGGAAGGACCCCAGCCACAGCCGAGAAGGGAACTTCATGGGCAAAATATTCTTCTTTCAATCTGGTGGGATCGCCAAGGAATAATCCATTTTGAATTCTTATCACCTAATGCAACAATTAATGCTCAAATATACTGTCAGTAATTAGAGCGTTTGAACCAAGCTTTGAGGAAAAAAAGACCTGCTCTAGGGAGTCGAAAAGAGGTGATGTTTCATCAGGACAATGCGCGACCCCAAACAGGAAGAATCACGTCACAAAAGATCGAAGAACTTGGTTGGGAGAAAATTCCTCATCCACCTTATTCTCCCGATCTTGCTCCTTCAGACTACCATTTGTTTCGTAGCTTACATAATCATTTGGAAGAAACAGCTTTTGTAACACAGGAAGAGGTTAAAACTGACATTTGTGAGTTCTTCGAATCAAAGCCAAAAGAATTTCACAGTAATGGAATTAGTAAGCTTGTTAATAGATGGAAGGAAGTCATAGATAATCAGGGAAAATACATTGTTGTTTGAATCTGTAATAAAATATAACATCTGGTCACTTGTTTTCTTTATTCCAAATTCGGACAGAACTTATGGGATGACCTGATACATACCCGATTCTCCCGTCGAATTCGACGTATGAGGGTCAAGCAGATCAGCCCGGCACCAGCACATGAGATTTGATTTTAGTGGTGAAGGTTTTGTGCAAAACCATCCACATTTTTAACTTTTTGAAGGAAGCACGGTGGAGTAATGGTTAGCGGATTGGGTTGAAGAATCGGAGAGCCGAGTTCGAATACCAGTCGAATCCATTACATTCATTTACGTATGAATTCTCCAGCTATCGGTAAATAGCTGGACAGACTGGGTTCTATAGCCTTGGATGGCAATTAGGAGAAGGACAACTTTGAATTCAAAACCTGCGGAGATCGTTTGGGGACCTTGTGGCATGTAGTGCACCAGGTCTCTGTATTCAATAAAGTTCTTCATAAAGTGTGGGTATATATATGTGTGTGTGTGTGTGTGTGTGTTTCATTGTTTTATTGCTAAACAACCACCACTTCTACTCTAACAGTTTATTTTCTCGCACTTTCCACTTCTGAAACTCCCCCCACCCGATTTCTTGTTTCCCTGATAATTACAATCTTTTAATATCTGAATGCAACGTCAATTGCCCACGTCTGACTTCTTTTTCCATTTCCTCAATCCTATCCACTGTGTTTTCTCATTCACTTTCACTCTCTGTAACACAATGCAATTTAGTGGTATCGTTGTCTCACTGCGGATGAAACGATTAATATATATATATATATATATATATATAAGTAAAGGCTAGAGTGCTCAAAAATTAAAAATTATACAAAAATTTAAAACGATACGCTGTCTGGAAAAACCGGGATCCAAATACCAACAATTTAAAGAAAAGAGGTAGAAAGAAAAAAAAGAGAGAGAGAGAGAGAGAGAGAGAGAGAGAGAGAGAGAGAGAGAGAGAGAAAAGGTTAAGGAGTGAGTGGAAAGTGGAAAAAAAAGCGACGAAAATGGCATTCTACACGTACACACATCCGCGCAGACGGGGGCATGGTTGCAGGTCACGAACGCACACAAGCACTATGAAAAAGAAAAAAGGAAACTTACACCAATGATAAGTGCATATAAAAAAAATAAATCAAAATGTATAAGCAGTCATTTGATACCATCTGACGAGTGGACGACAGGTCCGTCTGCGAGAATCTGGAGTCGGAATGCTGAAAGTAACATCAATCAGCTAAGTGATAATCTTTTTACTTGTATCAATTCTCCTCCCTCTCTCTTTCTCTACGAGTGAAACAGGCTGTCAAATGAGTATATATATATATATATATATATATATATATATATATATATATATATATATATATTTATTCTAAAATTATAACATAAATATGTTATACAATCACTACAAAAATAGCCATTTTGTTTCAAACACTTCTGGTGTCTTATCAAGTGATGGTGTTGAAGTAAAATAAAGGGTCTTAAAAGGTTCAAACCCTTTATTCTAAATAATTATATTCGCTCTACTCTGTATTGTGCACTATTTTAAGAATAGTAATTGTTGGTTATTGGAATTTGTTCCGTATACACCAATCCTATAGTTGGATATATATATA